GCAGTGAAGATCTGTGCGTGTGGGTGCAGCTGGATCATGACACAAGTGGAAAACTGCTTCTGCATCACTCATCTGACGCTCAGCACATGTGTGACGCAGTGTGTTTTCTGAGGCAGCGGATCATCAATGACTCCATATAGCATTTAGGAATGCCTGATGCAGGCTCAGCCTGAGTTCTCTTGCCACCTGAAGCAGGAGAATTTGCGTGGCTGCCACGCAAACCTTCCTGCCACTCTGAGGGAAGACCCCCTCCCTGCCACAGCCAGCCCAGAGAGTCCATCTTCTTTCCATTGCTGACACACAGGGCCTCTCCAGACTAGGGTCACCTGGCAGTAGCAGGGAGAAATGAGATCTCGGTGTCTCTGGGCACTCACAAGATCTTGGCACATGACCAAGATATTGTGAAGTGTGGGACATGTGCTGAAATCTCATAAAGACTGGGGCTAGAGGCCTCAGCAGCAGAGATGCTGCTCTGAACAGCCTGATGGTCAATTTCTCACTGCAGCCAGGCTCTCTCTCCACAGCACCTCTGGAGGTGGTGCTGAGCTCTCTGGGCTGGGGCTGGTTGGGGAGCGACCCCACTCATTGCTCTCCCTGTTCCGCCACCTCATGCGGACACCTCACCTCGCTTCATGGATCGGCCGGCCCCGGTCTTACTTGTAGCATGGAGGACACGTCTCCACAAAACAGCAGACTTCAGTCCATGTAGTGTGAAGAATGAATTTCAAGAAACCCTGCTTCTAGCACGAAAAATGTTTGTCTAGTATTTAGACTTCTTTCTGCAGCTGTTGATGAACTTGTGCATGCATCCATTATTCCAGTGCTAAGATGCTTAGACAGGGGCTTGTTTTACATATCTGATATGCCCAAAGTCAAGTGTGGCATGTTTGCACCGTTAAAACTTCACTCACCCAAGTAAGAAACTAAAGACCATTTTGCATGTTCAAGGCAAGGCATGCAAGATGAGCATTTGGTTTAATGCACATAATTAACACCCAGCTCTAACTGAAGCCAAAATGTCAAAACTCTGATCCTGGAGGTAATGAGATCATGATTCAATCTGGTTTCTGATGTAAAAGAAGAGAATGCAAAATAAAGGGAAGCACTTTCTCAGGTATCCCAGACCCAAATCAGCTTACAGGAAGGTTTACTTATCTTCCCAAAATATAGTATTGTCTATTGTTAGGTTTAAGTTTCATGAAAACATACGGCTCCCTTTTGGATGATAGCCATGGCTTATTTGGACCTGCTTTATTTTTAGCTGGCAACATCTCACACCCAGCACCTCTCCAAAATTTCTCTTTAGACAGACTTGGAAACAACGCTATCCAGACCTTACAAGAAACAATAACAACAATAGTGACAATGATGATATTAGAATGCAACTTAACCGAAATAATAAAGTCATTGCAAACACTTTGGATAAGAAAGAAACATATCCAGTTATGAAGAAGGATGAAGTTGATTTGCTGAATCAAATGGTTTGACAGTTCGGTTACCTATGTTTTGGAGCCTGCCCTATGACTTCACCACTACAGATTTAAAAATAAAAACCAGCCCTTCCCTTCAGGAGAGACAGTGTCTCTTCACTTGAATATTCCTAGAGGCAAAAAGCGAAATCTATCCGAGCATTAACCTTTGCAGATATTTTTAAAAGATTCTCAAAAATGTCTGTGTTAATGCAGACTGCAGTCTAGGAAAGTCACTGCTGATGAATATATGTGCATATGTCTCAGGCTGACACCACACCATTAAAGCATGCATAGGGCTGCCACAGTTGCATTTAGAAGTCATCATTCCATTATCCAATTTGTCCTGAGACTTGTGTACTAGAACATGACCCCCCCCCACCAGTAGGCTGACTCTCTTCCCCCTCTCTCTCTCTCTCTCTCTCTCTCTCTCTATATATATATATATATATATAAATTGAAGAAATTTTCAACCAGGCTTTGCACAATTTAATTACAAACTGAAAGTTACTCAAGAACCTCCTTCATTATTCACACTCTGTGCTAAACCATAAGTGATGCCTCTGCATGCGGACACCGTGGTGTGCTGGATCTAGTACTGCCCTCTCTTAATATGGGATTGAGTAAGCAGAGCACAATCTTCAATATCTCTGAAACAAACTTGTTTCAACGAGAAATCTAACAAGCATTTTTGCATTCCAGGAATAATAATCCGAACAGAATATAGACAGGGGTATGATTTGAAAATGTACATCTTAAACAAGCCAATGTTTCTATATTCTTAATAAGAAAGCAAATGAACAACCTGCTCCATTATTTTTACATCCTCATCCAGGTGAAGACTCACATACCTATATTTATCAACATTACTCCTCAAATATGGATTTTGTCCTTTAACACTGTTATTCAGCAGTTTTATGCTTCTATCCCAGCCCATTCTCCTCTTGAAATCCTACTGTTCAATTTAGATACAAAATATAGTATTTAAAAAAGAAGTTATTGTAAGGCAATGATGGCTCCTATCTGTAGTACAAATGCTACCAAAAGAAGAAGAAGAAGAAGAAGAAGAAGAAGAAGAAGAAGAAGAAGAAGAAGAAGAAGGGCTACAGTCCTACACTCAGAATATTCAAATCTTACAAGATTGTACCACAGAATTTAAGCAGCTCTAGGCAAAACCAAGATCTCAGTTGGCACTTTTAAAAACTTTTCTTCGAGAAATCTCACAGGTGAAATTGACAAGAATGTGATCATAAGCAAAGCAGCTTGTTAAAGGAAGTGTTTTAAAGCTCTAGAAACTCAGCCAGTGGCTTTCTACTGGGGATCAGAGGCAGGAAAGGGTGAAGCATTATCTCTGGCATAACTGTGATGCAAAAGCCATTCGATTATACTATTTAATGATGTTTTTGTACAATTGACCATACAATGTGCAATACCCCGAAGCACTCGAAGGGCTTCTGCATCTTTAAATGTTTTCTCCTCGATCTTTCTCCTGGATAAGTGTCAGGCAGTCCTGACCGCCACCTACCAGTTCTCAGGATTTGCTGTCTAAGGCTTGGTGCTGTTTCTCTTTCAGCTTCCCTGGACTATAAACGGCATTTCATGGAGTATCTTTTAACTAGCTTGATCTGAATAATGGAATTGTCTAACATAATTAGTCCATTTCCCCCCTGTTTCTATCTCGCCCCCCTTCCCACCCCTCCATTGTAAGGCCGCCATCAATAGCAGGAAAAGATGTTTAGGGAGCATCAAAGACAATGTTCTAAAACAAACTCAACACTTTGACCTTTCAGCTTTGGTGTCAAAAAGCCCCCAAAAACAAAGTCAAGCAATGAAAGTTTCAGAAGAGACAGTATGAAACACGCAGAAGCTGGTTTATAAACATGTGTATGCACACTGATTATTTAAAGTAAAATAATAATCATAAAATCTCCCAACCTCTATCGAAAAACCGGAATCTGAACAAAACCACATACCAATTTTCAAAACATTAACTCGAATGTGAATCCTTTCTGATTTTAAAGCCTCTTAATTCGAGCCTTTTCACTGAGATGTTTTCCATCACTGGACAAAAATCAGCACCAGAGTCTGCAGTTTGGGAGGCAACATTATCTCCTCCGGCTCATTAGTTCCGGGGCACAGCCCTGCACACACTTGAACCTTCTGGGTTGAATGCCATGCTCAAAATTAGCCAGCATCATTGGGGGAGCGGGAAGGCTTTTCCTACCACAGCTTAAACTAGAGTTATCCTTGACTGTAGCATTCTAAAATAATTACTTCTGCTAGTAATACAGTGCAAATCTGTTGAGATTCAATTGCTGTCTCTAAAACACTCACCAAGTAATTGCAAATAAGCAAAGGATAAATATTTGCTGGCTGCTGTTGGGTGCTCCCGTGTTTGTTTTCTGTTTCTTCTTCATTTCGATAATTAAAGTGTTTGGGGCGCGGGAGAAGCCTGCCATGCGAAAGCCTTCCGGGAGCACGAAGCTACAATCTATTCATTTTTTAAGCTGCGCCTGTGCCTAATGCAAGCTCGGGATTCGGGGGACGCAAAATCCGTCCCCCGCCTCCTCTTCGGCAACTTTGCTGCCGCCGCGGCCGCTCCGGCGGGCCTCGCCGCGGGCAGGGCTGCGGCCGCGGGCGTGATCCGGCACCTTGAAGGCCGCGGCCCGCCCGGCCCGGCCGCCGCCGACCTCGGAGCGGGAGCGGGAGGCGGCCTCGTGGCCCCGCCAGGCCGCGCTCCGGCGAGCTCCTTCGCCTGCACGGCGCGCCTCGCTGCAGGCCCTTTCCCCGAAGTGCGCCCCATCCTTCGCTCTGCCCGGAGGAGACTCTCCCTTCAGCGGACCGTCCCCCTCCCGCAGGCTTCGGGAGCCAGGCACCCGCGCTGGGAAGCCTCGAGCGGGAAGCAGGAGAGTCTCGCCCGCGAGCAGGCGGCGAGGCGCGCTGGGGAAATCGCCTGCCCTTCACGCGCTTCTGGCTGCGCCTGCGACAGGAAACTGGGGCTTTGGCACGAGTTTTCGCTTGGGCTTCAAAACTTCGCCGCCGCGTTTGAGAAGGGCCCTTCCGCGCAGGCCCTTGGCACTGCTGCCGTGGAAGCCCGCGGCCTCTGCTTCTGAGCGACCTTAACGAGGATCGGGCAGCGCATGGGCCGGATCGGGACCCGGGGAAGGCGGGCAGGCAAAACCCCACGCCTTCCCGCGCCGCTGCTCTGAATAAGGGGCTGATCGGTGCCAGCGCAGCCGAGGGCCCGAGTCTTCCGAGGGAAAGCGGGCCGGGAGGGACGGCCTGCCTCGGGACGCCCAAGCAGCCTTGCCTGGCGCGGCGGGTCTCGGCCGCCTCTCCCGCCGCAAGCAGCCCGCCAGCCTCCCCTCTCAGCCGCTTCCAACGCGGCCTGTGGCTCCGAGCGCAAGCCAAGCCACGCCAAGCCAAGCCAAGCGCCCGCGCGCCCGTCCCCGCCTCTTGCCCGTTTCATTTGCAGAGAGAAAGAGAGAAAGAAAGAACGAGGCCCCGACTTAGTCGTCAGGAAGAACTTACTTGTTTTGTCATGGAGTCGATTAAGCGGACATAAAAATCCTGTTCTGTTCTTATACCTAAAGGCAGGAGGGGGAAGATTAATCTCTGTCACTAAATGCAGGTAAAATAATTCAGAACATGACAAAATGGACGGATCTTTATTTTATTTTCTTGAACTTTCTTTGGCCCATTAATGTGCTGCCCAGAAGCGGAGGGGAAAGGCCTCGGGGCCGATTTATTCTTCTTCGTGTGATTTAATTCGAGCGGGACACAAATAGCTCTCTGTGGGGCCAGGCATTCCCAGGGGCACGCGGGCCCAGCTTCTCCCAGTTCGGAGGAGCCACTCATTTTCCCGGTCCACATGTAGAGAAGGTCTTGATTTCCCCTGCCCCGCCGGACACCTTCCGGGGCCCTCTGCCCCCAGCCCAGCCCAGCCGGCCCTCCTTGCCTTGCGGGACTGACTGGCAGCTACACTTCCTCGCCCCTCCCCTGGGGACGAAGATTACGACAGGGCAAGAGGGGAGTTGTTTCTTTCTTCCGTCAACAAAAGCACACTAGCCCTGGTCTGTCCGCCTCGGCCCGGCTGTCGAGGGGGAGCTGCGCCTGGCAAGGAAGGAGCGCCCGGGGGCTGCGCTGGAGGAGCCGCCGCTCGCTGCAGGGGGCGAGAAAGCCGCTCCCCCGCTGCCCGACGGGGGCGGCCAGAGGTTCGGCTCTGGCCCACCCCGACAGCATCCCGGGGCTTGTCCCGGCGCGGCGAGCGCCCCCCACCCGGGCCGCCCTTCGGGGCGAGGCTGCCGCCCTGGACACGGAGAGCTGCTGCGGGCTGTCAGGGCCGGCGCGCGGGGAAGGGGCTCACCGTTGCTGTAGAGAAGCTGCAACCGGTAATGGATCCCGTTGTTGGTCTTTTCGCTGTTGGCTTCCTGAAGCGAAAAGACACGCAAGGATGAGAGAGAGCCCTCGAGAGCCGCCCGGCGCCCGCGCTCCGCCGGCGGGGGAACGGGGCAGGGGGCGCGCTGCGCCGCTGCCGCGGGTCCCGTCCAGGCGCGCCCTGGGCTGGCGTCCGAGGCCGGGGGCGACGGAGAGGAGGCCGGCGGGCTGCCTGAAGGCACGCACCTGGAGGGCGCCTGCCGTGGGAAGGGGCTGCCGGGGGGAGAGCGGGGCGAGGGGCGCTGCGCCCGCCCGCCCGCCCGCAGGCGCGAGGCAGGCGGCGAGGCTGCGGGGAAGGAGCTGCCCGAGGACGGAGGCAGGTGGACACTCGCGCTCTCCGCCGCGGTGGGCAAGCGGCGGCCGGCGGGTGGGGATGGCCAGCCTGAAGGTGAGGCACTCGCGGCCGCTTCTCCCCCCCCCCCCGCCCCCGTCCCGACACACGCTGGGCGCACGTGCACTTACTTTCTCCTTCTCTACGAAGCCCACGAAAGCGGTGCGCTCGATCTCCACCGGCTGCCCCTGCCGGTCATACAGCGCCAGCACGAAGTGGAAGAAGTTCGATTTCCTCAAGTTGGAAGGCGGCTGCTTCTCGAAATGAGCCCGGGCCAGGCCCACCCCACTGCGGCCAAAGAGTCCAGTTAGAGACGTGCCGCGCCGCAGACCCCCAAGGCCTTCCCCTGCCTTCCCATTCCAGGCGCTTTCTGGTGGGGCCACCCTTCCCGCCCCTCGGGCCATCTTCGCCGGAGACGAGCGCTGAAAGTCTAGGAGAGGGATCGGAGCGCGGGGGTGGTGGGGATGCTAGCCAGGAAGCCCTCCAGGTCCCTGCTCGGGCTCTGCCATGGGAGTCTCCTAGAGCGCCACGCGGGCTTCGGGTCACGTCAGAAGGGCACGAAACGCACGACGAGGTCAGGCGAGGAGGCAGGTCCCGCCAGCTCCAGGTCTGCCTCTATCTCCGCGCAACTGGCTGCCCCTTCTTCACAGCAGCAAACTAACTGGCTCAACCATATGACTGCCCTTCTTTTCCCCGCTTCCACCGACCCGGGACGGTCGCCTCGCAGCCAAACGGGCGCAACGACTAGCATGAAGAATATTGAAATCGCAAACAGTTACAAACTCGGTTAACTGCGGAGCGCTCTCCCGCATTTCCCCGCTTTCTGAGCGTCACGCTCCGCAGCGGCCAGACTCCGGGAAGGAAGGGCTTCGCTCGCATCTGGCCTGAGCTGTCAGTAAGCCCGCCGTGTGGCCTGCTCTTTATCGTGGGAGAGGGCAAAGCGCCTCTGACTCCGGCATCTCTCGAGCTCGCTTCCTGCCCTTCAGTTCGCGGGGGATCCGCGTCTACACATCCCAGAACTGGCTGCGTAGAAAACTTTGGCTATTTTCACCCTCGTGGTGTCCCTACAAAACTTTGCCTTCCTGCCCAAGGGCTGCAGGGGGAGAGGAGGCGGGCGACGGAGGGATGAAGTGAAACAAGGCAGAAGATGTCAACATTACAACTGAGAGTCGGCGATTGGTTCCGGCTACAAAGCTGAAGATACGCCTGAGGTCCCTATCCTAATAAGGCTAACTTGGAAGCAAGTCCCTTGGCGAGCAGACGGGCTTACTTCCGAGTAAGCACGCACAGGAGGGAACGGAAAGATTTTTAAGTGATCTGGCTGGCTTTGCAAAATGCAAAGCTGGAGAAGGTGTAAGAGTGGGGTAGTCATACATGGGGGTGGGGTGGGGTGGGGTGGGGGGCTTTCCAAACAAATATACAGATCGCTCTGTCGTGCAGAAGTTTTGTATAAGCCGCAGAGGCTGAAGAACCAAACCGGGTCTATAGAGCTGTAAAAGTTATTTCCTTGCTGCAGCTCGCAAAAGGTGAGGCTTTGGCGATGAATGGATGGAGGAAGGGAAGGGAAGGGA